CCTGCGACCCGCAGATTGCGAGTCGAGCGTCCTAATCACCTGGCAATGCCGGGCCCACCGCATGGATATACCGAGACCATTGTAATCAAAATAATTTATACATTTTTATTCAACTGAAATATGATTGTAGTAAACTAATCAGTGATGATTTATTTCTCTAACATATAACATAATGTGAGGCTAATACTTTCTAATACCACCATTAATAACCGCAATACCCCCAAGAACATTTCACTTAGTCGGTATCGGTTTGTTCGTTTGTACACAATAAACTATCTGTGCTCTTCTCACGACGGGTATGGTAATTCGATTTCTAGCGTTGTAAGTCCGCAGACGTACCGTTGTACCACTGGGGGTGGCTTCGGTATCGGACTATTTTCGAAGTATTTCTAACAGTTCCCTCACCCTATTTACTAAAAAACAACATAATGTAATTTCCTAGCATCAGAGAATTCGGGCCACAAAATACAAGAATTAAAGTAATTACAACTTAAAGTTTTGTTGTTCTTATACATTTTCAAGACAGGATCTTTCTTATGACCTTTTACTGTTTCTCTTCCAAGCTATTGCTTCTTCCCTTGATGTTCCGGTCGTTAGGGTTAAGCTGTGAACCGTTTGTCATCCCCTAAGCACTAAGAAGACGCCGTAGACAATGTATTGGCTCTTACTAATTATTGCTTTCTACTCGTAATTAATTTATAAACACTTGCAACAACCTGCAGGCGAATTGTGACAATCATTAGAAGTGTACAAGATCAACAACGACTAAGTTGTACCTTCGTGACAGACGTTAGAAGAAGGTACAACTTAGTCGTTGTTGATCTTGTACACTTCTAACGTCTGTCACGAAGGTACAACTTAGTCGTTGTTGATCTTGTACACTTCTAACGTCTGTCACGAAGGTACAACTTAGTCGTTGTTGATCTTGTACAGATCTTGTACACTTCTAATGATTGTCACGGTTACAATCTTCTGTAAGTGAAAACCCAAACAGGTGATCTTTCTATTGAAATAAATGTAACAGATGGTTTTATTCTGAAAGAACTGGTGTAACACACAGTTTACTAGATGGATTGTGATCCAGTTTGTTCCATATGACTAAAAATATCACACAGAACAAAAAAAATGTAGTTTATTGGATTGGGTGGCAGGGCCAAGAGGAGGTCCAGAATGAGGCAACTGGTATCAACAAAGACATTATTAACGAAAGGTCAGTGGATCTGTGTAGATGTTTAAAACAAATTTCAACTGATTCCTTTGTGACCTTGATCTTTACATAAATGTCATATTTCTCGCAAAAAGTTATGTGATAGTTTCTTGTAAGATTGACCTCTGTACTACTAAAATGATATATAAAAGCGACGAGAAATACTAGTACCGAGAAACAACGGAATAAATAGCTGATTTATGCTCATAACCTTTCGCGCCTCATGATGCCAGAACAACCTTAAAGGTCCAAGTAAACAGTCAATACAGCCATACTGGACATTAGTTGGTTTAGAACGAATAGAGGCGCAACACGGGAAACTGACAGCACACTGCGAGGAATAAATATATGTTTATAAAAAAAAGACGTTGCTGACCATTCGTTGGAAGACCGTGCTTAGTAGAATAATAATAATGAACTAGCAGAGAGTCAGTAAACATTTCCGGCCAAATTAGTATCTTTATCGTAACAGTACTTCTTTAAATATAACATTTCTAGCACAATACAAACGAACTGTAATCGTAGACAACGAAATATGTAAATCCACTCGTATATATATATATATATACTTTATAAAACTTTAACTTATGTTAGGCCTAAGTTTGATAAACAGATAAATTAACACTGTAACCTGTGTTAGGTTTTTTTTTTTTTTTACTTTAGTTTAGCTAGGACTAAACTTTACTGCACTTAAAGCTACACTAGGGCTATCTACGCTAGCCGTCCCTAATTTAGCAGTGTAAGACTAGAGGGAAGGCAGCTAGTCATCACCACCCACCGCCGACTCTTGGGCTACTCTTTTACCAACGAATAGTGGGATTGACCGTCACATTATAACGCCCCCACGGCTGAAAGGGCGAGCATGTTTGGTGAGACGGGGATTCGAACCCGCGACCCGCAGATTGCGAGTCGAGCGCCCTAACCACCTGGCCATGCCGGGCCTGTATAAAGGGTGATTCATTTATGATCAAGTACTGCGCGTGACAAGATACTTGTGTATCAAATTTAATTAGTTGTTCACAGTAAGAGAAACATCCTCCTTCTCTCCTTCTCAACAACATAGACATCTATATAAATATAATAGTACTGTCTGTTGTCTGTTCTATGTCCACGTAACTACTTCGCAGGGTGTGAATGGGTCTTCACCAAATTTGGTATGAAGGTTCATTGGGTTCGTGCGGGGGTACATAAAAAATTTCCACTTTTGCATTTTGCGGTTTTTATGTGGACGGATACTCTGCCTAGTATTATAATACTTTTATTACCAGTTAGCCTTGTTTGTTTGTTTTAGCACAATATATTCTATCTGTGTTCTGTCCACCACGAGCAATCGAACTTTGATTTTAGAGTTGTACGTAAACTTACTTCTGACCCACTATGGGAGACCAACACTTAGCTATATTTTATTTTGCTTTAGAAAAAAATAATATTTGTAAATACATTGTACGGAATTCAATTACTACATACGTCTGTCAACAGAGAAAGTCATATTGTATTGAGCTAAAGAGATATACGGGAATCTAATGGTAACTTATGGAATTATTATATTTGAATTATTTTTAATATAACTAAAAATTAGATATTTTCAAATATGAAAACGCTCTCGCCATCTATTGACATAAGTTGGCGGTATTGTATTAATTCGCTTGACTAATCTACAATCATCGTTCTGGAAAATGGATGATGAAGATACAAACTGATACAGATATAGAACATCATTAAACATCAGTGCTTAACTTTTACTACTGGAGACTAGTGTACGGAAAAGTAGTTCAAAATCACGTAAAATGTAAAATATTGCTTAGAGTCAGTAATAAAAACAGCTGGACAAAATCCAAGAAATACATTAAATTATCGAGTTGACTCATTTTAATGTTGTTCTATTTTTGTCCTGTGTAAAGTCATTATGTTTTTAGTTGTAGAGCAAGGTCACATTGTGTCCACCGCGGGAATCGAACCTCGAATTTTAGTTTTACAAGTCCGTAGACTTACCGCCTTCCAACCGGAGAACATTTTTTTTTTTTTGCTACAAAACTGAGTTTGAGCGAATACACAACTTTATACTAAACCGGATGAAAATAACAGCATGGAAATATCTCTATGTCTAAACCAATCAGGGGATGGCATACTTCAACAGATGCCAAAGATATACAACAAAGACTTCGTAAAGCTAGAGGCACGTTCTTCTAAAAATATTTCTAACCGTTGTAGCAGTTATTAAAGATCAATGAAGAAAGATACAACTTAGTCGTTGTTATAGATTTTGATTTGAAAATCTAAGTTTATAACCGATAGAGCCACATAGTAAGCTCTTGGTACAGTAGTTGGTTGAATAAATATAGATTTTGATGTTAAAATTTAAGTTTAGAACCGATAAAGCCACATAGAAAATTCCTAGTACAGTAGTTGGTTGAATATATACTATTCTAAGGTGGCTGTAGCATACAAAATTGTATAGATTAACTTTCTCCAAACGATGAGATTTTGTATGAGGAACAAATATGAAGCAGACATATGAGACATAGCAGAATAGGTACCCGTGGTTTTAATTTTACTTATTCAACCAACTACTGTACCAGTAGTTTCCTATGTAGCTCTATCGGTTACAAACTTAGATTTTAAAATCAAAATCTATGCTTATTCAACCAAATACTGTACCAAGAGTATTTTTGTGTGGCTCTATCGGTTCTAAACTAAGATTTTAACATCAAAATCTATGCTTATTCAACCAACTACTGTACCAAGAGTTTTCTATGTGGCTCTATCGGTTATCAACTTAGATTTTAAAATCAAAATCTATGCTTATTCAACCAAATACTGTACCAAGAGTATTTTTGTGTGGCTCTATCGGTTCTAAACTAAGATTTTAACATCAAAATCTATATTTATTCAACCAACTACTGTACCAGGAATTTTCTATGTGGCTCTATCGGTTCTAAACTTAAATTTTAACATCAAAATCTATATTTATTCAACCATCTACTGTACCAGGAGCTTACTATGTGGCTCTATCGGTTCTAAACTTAAATTTTAAAATCAAAATCTATGCTTATTCAACCAACTACTGTACCAGGAATTTTCTATGTGGCTCTATCGGTTCTAAACTTAAATTTTAACATCAAAATCTATATTTATTCAACCATCTAC